TTTTTTTTTTTTGTTTTTTTTTTGTTTTTTGTTTGTTTTTTGTTTTTGTTTTATAGTTTTAATAATAATAATATTCATATCATTAAATAGAAGTGGGAAGAAGTTTCAATTATAAATTATCAATGCAAGTTATATTACTAAATTACTATAAGCGTTAAGTGATTATTAGAATCTATGAAATCATTTGAATATGATTCAATTGGCTTTTGTAATTTGAGATGACCGTACATTTTATATAGAATATGTGAACTGATTATTACCTTATTACTTCAATTTTCGTAACCACTGGTAGTGATCTGATATAAGAAAAAGAAAAAAAAAATAAATAAAAAAATAAAAAATAATATAAAATAGAATCACGAAGAGCGAAGGAAAGCTTATGAAGACTATACAATAATTCTCGGCTGGATGGTTTATCACTTATATAAATGAATTTACGAGTTCGTTTCGTAATTTTTAGAATTGTAAGTTTCAGAATTTCGGCTCGAGCATTAATATAGTTTATAATGGCAAACCGACAGCGGTGTCGAATTAATAGGGTCAGGAATCATCACTGAGAGTATAAAGTGGATATTGTTTTAACACACTTCGTGGAAGCGATTCCTTATTGGAGATCCGCTAAGTATAAGAAAGTTGCCAGATATATATTATGAGAATTGTGATTATATTGTATATTTGTATCGCGTGAAAAAAAAAAAAAAAAAAAGTAATGCCAAAATAGAGGACGAACGTACGTAGTATTTTATATATAGTGAAACGCATTAAAAATTATTTTTGCATAACAATTTTGAATTGTATATCGTGGAAGCGCATAAAAAATTTATTCCTTCACGATTTGTTTTTATCGCAGTAAACTTTTATTGCTCAAACTGATTCTAAATCACTATATAAAAATATCTATATTTAATATTTATTAAATATAGAGCGTCTATTTATATATATATATATATATGTATGTATTAATACGTAATGTTTAGATAAATTTTGCAAATTGTATAACTTAGTAATGCAAGTTTTAATTATAAATATTTCTTTTGCTTTTTATTTACGTTGTGAAACTGACTGAAAGGTATATAATATTATGTTGAATTGGTTCAAATGCCAATGAAAAATATAAATTTTTGTTATTCGATTGTAAAGCAATATTGATCCATATGTTTTTAAAGTAAAAATGTATTTTCAACATGTTTATGAAAATGAATGCCGTTTAAGAATTGTTTAAGAACTTCGTCACTGTTAATCAACTTAAAAATAAATAAACTAAATAATTACAAATCTATTTAGCTACATAAAAGAACGTTTAAATATTAAAATATTATCTAATATGTTTAAATTAATTAATGAAGAAATAACGTGGATCGAAGATATAAGCAATGTCTTTAGTGACTCATTCAATCGTCATTTATTATGTCGCAATGTGATGCACAAATTTTCTTTAAAACCTTTTAACTTTCAATATACTAGTGAAAATAAGATATATTCAAATCCGTTTCATAGAGATTTTATTACTTATTCAAGATATTTGTCATTTGTGCAGAATAGCTTGTTAATGTTAAAAATCATTTCAATATATGGCACAGGATTATAATAAAATAAAACTTAAAGAACATTTTGCAAGGGCTTATACAAAATTTGAATAGATATCGGTCAAATCGAATAGATATCTGCGATTTATGCATATATTGTAGATAAATTTTAATGCATAAAATGTTTATATGCATTCGACTCGATTAACATAGATTGAAATGTTTTACGTAACAAAGATAATTTCTTATTTACTTTTTTATCATGCAATTTTCAAAATTAAATAAAATCAACTCGAGAATGATTTAAAAATATTAAATTACAAAATAATTTTTCAGTTATTGCAATACATTCTTTCGAATATATTTATTCTAAAGACATTAAAGCGTCGACAGATCTTCTTTCCGTATTTGAAATAATAACAATAACATAACAATAATGATAATAATAATAATAATAATAATGATAATTGTCGATTGATAGTAGTAGTAGTAGTGGTAGTAGTAGTGGTAGTAGTAGTGGTAGTGGTAGTGGTATTAGTAGTAGTAGTAGTAGTGGTAGTAGCAGTAGCAGTAGCAGTGGTAGTAGTAGTAGTGGTAGTGGTAGTGGTAGTGGTAGTGGTAGTGGTAGCGTTAGTGGTAGTGTTAGTGTTAGTGGTAGTAGTAGTAGTAGTGGTAGTGGTAGTGGTAGTTGTAGTAGTAGTAGTAGTAGTAGTATCGATTGCCAATCACTGCTTAGAGTGCGATGCAAATTGTCAAGATATTAATCGCAATTGACGCTATATCAAAATATAGGGATAATAATTGCACGAATAATTAATTAAAGTATGAAATTTATCTAACGTATGGAGCGTGGCTTTGTAGAAAACGAATGTAAACACGTCACACATACCATTGACAAGTAAGAGTACGGCAAAGCTAAAAGATTAAAAAAACGAAACGACAAATTGTATAAATTTGTCGTGAAATTTAGTGCCTGCGAAAGATAATCGTTCGCGCAATTAGTTGCAATATGCCAATTATCTTACAAAATAGATATAAACGCGTGGATAAATAAAAATAAAAATGATAATATAAGAGGAGAGTGTCGATCTCGAATGAACGATTGATTTAGTTTGAGAGGCAGGTTAGGTTGTCTTATTTTTAAATGGCAAAGGTAAATCGACTCGCGCTTAAAGAAATTTTTGTTCGTGCTGTCGCTCAACGCGCACGCCACTTTCCAAATGAATTATCCAAATTCCAAATCAATTTATTCTGCATTTGGGGCTTGATCGCCGAGTCCGCGATTTCTAAGGATTCGACATTGCAACTTTATGTATATCGCATATTATTCAAGGCTTCGCGTCGCTTCGAGGTGCCGCCATCACATTTAATTAGTCCGAGTCGATGACGATGCCCTCCCTGCCTTGATGAACAACAGATCAAGGGACGGACGCTGGCTGACGAAGTCTGGCGGCCATTTCCCGCCTTCATCTCCAATTCCCTATGGCTGCTTCACCGCAAACTCTCCACTCGATGATTTTATCAATAGATGAGCCTCACACGGCCAATCTTCGAAACTTACATAGATCGCAACTGATAGCGGTTGTCCAGTCCATTTATCCTCCGCCGGTTTTGAAGTGGGCGCGCGCGCGCGCGCGTTCAATGCGACGAATGCGATGCCAAATTGGAAGGGCCAATTAACGATAAAGTAGCCCGGCGGAATGGAAGTGGTAAATGCGACGGAGGTGGGGGAGAGGCGAGAATGCGAGCCGACGGATGGGGTTATAGAGCGAGGTCGGCGGATTTCTGCCTGAACGATTGGCGGTAGAGCCGGTGACGGCGACCGGCCGTCTTAACGTTTTTCTGCGACTTTGTGCGCGGGGGACTTGGCTAGGACGCCATCCCGCGGTGAAGAGACGAAGCTCGATTTGGTGCTTGGCGCACGACGGTCGGGGTGGCGGGTACACAGTGCGCGGGGTCAATAGGATTTGGCCGTCGGCGCACCTTTGGCTCGCGGCGGTCGCTTCGGCTCCAGGGTTTGGGTCTCGAGACCCCAAAGTCCCTACGGGTGGTTATTGGTTATCGGTCGTTGGGGTTACGCGCGCGTACCTCTGCCCGTGCGCCTCTGGCTGTGCGTATGCGCGCGCGAGTGCAGGTGCGAAACGCTTTAGTAGCTCGCGCCGCCGCCACATCCACGTCGCCGAAGATCGTCCTCTGGACGACCGAGTTGGTCAACAGCGCGCTTCGTACTCCGGGTGCACGGGGTACGAGCTAAGCCGGCACCATGTCGGACTTCCTGGACTCCGAAGCCGAAGAGAGTGAGGTTAGTGTTGGGGACGAGAGGCGTTCAACGCACTTCCCGACCCTCGTGCGACGACGTTCTTCGTACGCGCAAGGATGAACCGTCACGAACGATTTTGGAAGGGACGGTTCATCACTCGTACCTTGCGAATGTTCTGGCCTGCCAATTTTTTTCCTACCTTTTCTCTCTCTCTTTTTTTTTTAATTTTTAATTTTCTTTTTTTATTCTTTTTTTTTTTTTTTTTTTATTGAGAAAATGCCTCCACATACGTGAGCTTTTTTGCGACAATATTTTGAGCGTCGGCAGTCGTTAAGCGATGTCCATAGGATCGATGGGGGATGCTCAGGGAGGTGAAGCACTACTTATCCTCGTGTAAACTTTAAAAATAGACCATTCGTTAATAATTTGTATTCTTTGGCCTTCGAGATTAATATTCGGCGGACTGGGGGCGTTATTTTATAACGGATTCCTCGAGTTGAATGGGCAAATCGTCACGATAATTGTGAAAATATCGGTGATACCGTGGCCACAGTTTCAGGTCGATGTGTTATTGTGCCAAGAGTCACTTTTATTATTTGTAAACTCTGTTCATTTTCTTAATTTTGATTCGTCAATTACCTATGTTCTGTAGTAACAGATTAATGATATCTTACATATTAGGCTGCAACTTATTATTATTAACGAGGTAAGTAAGAACGAGCCTTAGTCCGATCAAAAGAAACCTCCGATTCCTTATGGTTTTAATATTGCTATATTTGTAGAAAGGCTAATGTCAATTGCCATTGCTTTTATCGAATGTTTGAGACCAAGTCGGTTGGAAGTGTAAAATTGGATGGGAATATTAATTTAAAGTATTAGAAATTTCAGTGTCCACTCTTTGTCAAACTAATATTATTGTCGTGTTTATTTTAGGATGAAATGCTCGATCGGAATAAAAAGAAAAAGCTGAAAAAGATTCATGCTTCGGAAAGCGAAGAAGAAGAGGGTAAATTGTTTTTTAAAATGTCATTCTTATAAAAATGTATCTATACGTATGTATGCGCGGCGATGTACATTGTTGATATGAATTCTTGCAGATGACGAGGAGAAATTAAGAGAAGAGCTAAAGGATTTAATCGACGATAATCCAATAGACGATGAGAGCGATGGAGAAGATAGCGACACTTCGCAAGGCTCTAAAAAACGTAAAAAAAGTGACGACGAAGACTTTGATGATCGATTGGACGACGAGGATTATGATGTTATCGAAGAAAATTTGGGTGTTAAAGTCGAAAGGGTTGGTTTTGCACAAAATTTGATTTCATCTTATAAAAGGTCAATCGTAACCAATAGTCGTTATTTCTGGTAGAAACGTTTCAAACGCTTGAAGAGAATAGAAGCGGAGGAGTCGGAAGAAGAGCAAGAGCAGGAGGTAGAAGAAGAGAGGGATGCTATCGCCAATGAATTATTTTCCAATGAATTAGGATCTGGCGATGTAAGTACCAAAAAATAAGTTTTTACTTTTTACCAATCCTTCTTTTGTATACGCTATTATTGTACTGTTTGTGCTTATTAATGCCAGGAAAGAGAGGCATTAGTAGTGGTATGTATGGACAGTTTATAATGATAATAATCGTGAATGATTCCGATTCTATGTAGTGAATTATCTGTCTCCTTAACACGTAGGAAGATGAACGTAGGAGCGAACGCAGTCAAAGACCCGCTGGTGAAGTCGAGCAATATGATGATGAAGGAAGCGACGAAGAATCCGACGCCGATGACTTCATTGTCGATGACGATGGGAGACCCATTGCAGAAAAGCGGAAAAAAAGAAGGCATATTTTCGCTGATTCGTACGTATCCAATACATTATTAAGCTAGTGATGTATTTTTAAGTGACAATTTTTTAAGAGACATTAATTCAATTATTCGTTTATTCATTATTTAGAGCACTTCAGGAGGCTCAAGATATTTTTGGAGTCGATTTCGATTATGATGAATTTGAAAAATATGGCGATGACTACGAGGAGGAGGAGGAAGAGGAAGAAGACGAATACGCGGACGATGAAATAGATACAGATAGGCCTAAGAAAACGAAAAAGGCTGCAAAAAAGAAGACTACGAAAAAGAGTATTTTTGAAATTTATGAACCGAGCGAGCTTAAACGCGGTCACTTTACCGATTTGGACAACGAGGTAATTTCTCAACTTATTGCTTGTATAATATAAGAGCTCGTTTATAAAATGTTAACTTACGACACAAGATCCATAAGATCCTTAGACTATGCTTATTATCTTGATCTGCCTTTGAATTTCCTGAAAAAAGGAATTTCCACAAAAGCCACAAGACTTGTCAATCTTCGTTGCTCTCATTGGTTGTAATATACGTTTCTTCAGATACGTACCACGGATATTCCGGAACGGATGCAGCTTCGCTCCGTACCGATATCCGCCGCCACGGAAGAGGAGCTAACCGCGGAGGCCCAATGGATTTACAATCAAGCTTTCGAGCGGAAAACCGTGTCGGTTCAAGATGCCCACTTGAACGAGGAAGCGAAGGAGCGTGCGAAAAAAGGCCCGCAAACGGTAACTAAAATCAAGAAAACCTTGGACTTTATGCGTAATCAGCATTTCGAGGTGCCCTTCATCTCCTTCTATCGAAAGGAATATGTTTTACCGGAGTTGAACATTAACGATCTGTGGAAGGTTTATAAATTCGACGCCAAGTGGTGTCAGTTACGCCAGCGTAAGGAGGCGCTGCTTAATCTCTTTAGGAAGATGAAGCGATATCAGGAGGATCATATTATGAAGGATCCGGACGCACCGTTGCCCGACAATATGAGGTTGATCGAGGAGGAAGACGTTAAGCAGCTGGAGAATGTACAAACGACCGAGGAGCTTAACGACTCGTACCACCATTTCATGCTGTACTATAACCAAGAGATACCGAAGATGCAGGAGATCGTACGCAAGCAAGAGAAGGAGAAGCGGCGCTTAGATAGAATTCAAAAGCACAAGCAGCTGATTGCCGAGGCGGAGGAGAATGGGGAGGAGCCACCATCCGAAGAAATCCTCGATGAGGAGGAGGAGGAGGAGCCCGAGGAAATACTTAAGCAAGCTGTTCGTACTGGGCCGTATTCGATTTGTCGTCGAGCGGGTCTGGAGAGTCTGTCGAAGAAGTTTGGTCTGCCACCCGAGCAATTTGCCAAGAATCTCAGTGAGGAGTATCAGATTTATGAGGTTGAGCAAGAACCAATGGAGCTCAATACCGTTGCTGCAGAGTACATTGGCGAAAAGTTCCAAACAGCCGAAGAGGTAATTTAAACTTTCATTTTTCATTAGCATTATGTTTATACTTGATTATTGCATGTATTAAAATGGACTTGCAATTATTATTACATTTAATTCGAATTTAAAAATTAACTGGCACTACAGATGCAAGTAAATAAAAACGTGCGTGTATAGTTTTATACGCTAAATCCTTGTAAATGAAACAGCTATATTTATTAAGAACAATACAATCATGAATGTTAATTTTCAATTTCATATTATTATTCATTGCTCTTTACTAGTTTATTATTATTATTTCATTTCAAACTTATAATGAGTTACGAAATCTATATGCAGTATTCGAATGATAAATTTATAAAATCATCGCAGGCTCGTTTGTTCTTATGTCTCATATTTTTTCTATCGTAGCTTATAAAACTTATACTGCATTTGCCAATTCGGAGAACATTTAATGAAAATATCATTGGTAATAACCATATATTCTTCGATTATCTTGTTTCCTTTGTTTGTAGGTGCTTAAAGCTGCCCAACTTATGGTGGCGATACAACTGGCAAGGGAGCCATTGGTTAGGGAATCGGTAAGGAGGATGTATAAGGAGAAAGCAAAGATCTCGGTGCGGCCAACGAAGAAAGGCATCAAACTTATAGATGAAAATCATCCAGTTTTCACGATGAAGTACCTCAAAGATAAGCCAGTTAGGGATCTCGTAGGAGATCAATTTTTAAAATTAGTAATAGCCCAGGACGATAAACTTATTACATTGTCATTCTCGGATCAGATTGAAGGGAATACCACGAATAACTATGTTGAACAAATGAAGCAGCTTTATTACAGGTACGAGCGCGAGATTCATGGATAATTCATACGTTTGTAGAAAAGATATTAGCTATAGCGATGCTTATTAAAATCGACGGGTTATACTTTGGCGCGAACTTTGGCTACCGTTGTTTATAGCTAATTATTTCATAATTAATCGGTTGCGCAGGGACGAGTTCAGCAAGAATGTGCAGGACTGGAATGCCTTGCGGGTTGGTAGCGTCGAGATGGCTCTTACGAAAATGGTTATCCCCGATCTCAAGAAGGAATTGTATTCCATTCTGCTGAACGAAGCCAAGGAGTGCGTGATGCGCTCTTGCGCCCGCAAGATGTACAACTGGATCAAAGTGATGCCTTATACCTGCGAGTTCCCTGACGAGGAAGACGAGGAGTGGGACACGAGCAAGGGCTTGCGAGTGATGGGTCTCGCCTACGTGTCCGACTTCTCCATAGCGTCGTTCGCGTGCATGGTGGCGCCGGACGGCGAGTGTACGGATTATTTGAAGCTGCCGCATCTCCTCAAGAGGAAGAACAGCTTCAGGGAGTCGGATAAAGCGTTGAAAGAGTCGGATCTTGTGGCCATGAAGAATTTCATAGCCACGAAAAAGCCCCACATTGTGGTGATAGGTGGAGAGTCGAGGGACGCTTTAATGATTAGCGAGGATATTAGGGAGTGCATTGCAGGACTCGTGACGGACGAGCAGTTTCCCAGCATACGCGTGGAAATCATGGAAAATGAATTGGCCGGCATTTATGCCAATAGCCACAAAGGTTAGTGAAACGCTCATTCTGTCTGTTTGGGTGGAACGACTGGGGAGTTCAAAATATTCAATAGCAACCAACCGCAACGTCTTTTTACCGTTAATTATACAATTATTAAACAATTCTTTGCTTTAAACGGCGTTGTTGAATCTCTCGAACGCCAAATTAACAATACGATGCAATTAACATAACGCGAGGACAAAAGCGTATCGTCAATCTCTCACTCGCTATGCTTAAAGATTGCGATTGAACCTGTCCAGGGTCCAATACACGCTTTAAAAAAAAAATAAATAAAAAAAAAAAAAAAAAAAAAAAAAAAAAAAAAAAAACTTCAAAATGTCATTAGGTGTCTCGGAATTCAGGGACTACCCGGAACTCCTGCGCCAGGCCATTTCGCTGGCTCGTCGCATACAGGATCCTCTCATCGAGTTCTCCCAACTGTGCAACGCCGACGAAGAGATACTTTGCCTGAAATTTCACAGTCTACAAGATCAACTAAATAAAGAGGATTTGCTTGAGAATCTCTATTTGGAATTCGTGAATCGCGTGAACGAGGTCGGCGTGGACTTCAACAAGGCTGTGCAACAGCCTTACTCCGGTAATCTCGTGCAATTTGTGTGTGGCTTGGGTCCACGTAAGGGCCAGTACCTGATAAAGACGCTAAAACAGACGAATCAGCGACTGGAAAATCGCACACAGGTGATGGATGAAAAATGAAAGATATTCCCATAGTTACCACTCTGTATGTGTGTGTGTGTGTGTGTGTGTGTGTGTGTATGTGTGTGTGTGTGTGTCTCATTTCTGCTTAGGCCATTAGGCGTGAAATCCGCGCTCCATTCAAACACAAGTTTATCGACAAATTTATCAATGTATAAATAATTTCGGCAACGGTTTTACTTACAGTTCGTAACGGCATGCCACATGGGCCCGAAGGTCTTCATAAACTGCGCGGGTTTCATGAAAATTGACACAAATAGTCTGGGTGACAGTACTGAAACGTACGTCGAGGTGCTCGACGGTTCGCGCGTACATCCCGAGACATACGAGTGGGCGAGAAAAATGGCAGTTGATGCATTGGAGTACGACGACGAGGATGCGAATCCCGCTGGTGCGTTGGAGGAGATTCTCGAGTCGCCGGAAAGGCTCAAAGATCTCGACCTGGACGCATTCGCAGAGGAATTGGAGAGACAGGGATTTGGCAACAAGTGCATCACTCTCTACGACATAAGATCGGAGCTTAATAGCAGGTGCTTTGGCTAAAAATAATTTTTATTTGCATGACATTATAGTCGGACATAATAGTCATTTGCGACATTATCAGCAGAATATTGTGCAACTTTAACTTGATTTGGATTAGGAGTTAATGGGAAGTTAAAGGGTCAGTGAGACCGTTGCTCCGAGATATATTGTTCAGCGAATATATTTCGTAGAAATGTATGAAAAACCATATGAGCGCAATATTATGCAAATATGATTTCGCTGATTACATGGACGCGTCGTACATTCTTATCTCAATAGCCATTTACGAGTTTCGTTGTATTTTAGATATAAGGACTTGCGTGTAACCTATCAACCTCCAACGCCTGAGAAGCTCTTCGACATCCTGACGAAGGAAACCCCGGAGACGTTTTACATTGGCAAGCTGCTCGAGGCAACGGTCGTCGGGATTACATATAGGAAACCCAAGGGCGAGCAACTGGATCAAGCGAATCCGGTGCGCAACGACGAGACGGGACTATGGCAATGTCCCTTCTGTCTGAAGAATGAATTCCCCGAGCTCTCGGAAGTATGGAATCACTTTGACGCGGGCGCCTGCCCTGGTAAGGCGACAGGCATCAGACTGCGCCTGGACAACGGCATATCCGGCTACATTCATATAAAGAATTTGTCGGACAAACACGTGGTGAATCCGGAGGAGAGAGTACGTATCGGCAATCGCATTCACTGTCGCATTATCAAAATCGAGGTCGACAGATTTAGCATCGAGGCCACCAGTAAGAGTAGTGACCTGGCTGATAAGAACCAGGAATGGAGGTAAATTGAATACACGTGACCGTAGTTATTAGACGTTTTATGAATAATTCATCTGGAGATTTATCACGTAAATTGGAAGCTTTGCTTGTCAATGATTTATTTATGTACATCAACGTCTGAAATATTCTTCTTTCCCCCCCCCCTCCCAAATACATTTGAAGAATAAAAGATTGCAAGCCAATGACTAATTACATGCGTGTATATTGCAATACAATGACAATAATAAATTAAAAAATTTGCCTTTATTGGCCTTTATTGCGTAATTAATGGTAAAATTGGTCGAAGAGATTGTATCAGAATTTTGTATATGTTAGGCCGCAGAAGGATCCTTATTACGATACGGAAATGGAATCCAAGGATAATTTGCTTGAAGAAGAAGCGAAGAAAGTTAAGCAACGCCAGATATACGTTACCCGTGTGATAATTCACCCGTCGTTTCGTAATATCACGTACGCCGATGCGGAAAAGCTAATGCAGACGATGCAGCAGGGCGAGGCCATAATTCGGCCCTCGAGCAAAGGTGACGATCATTTGACAGTGACGTGGAAGGTGACGGACGACGTGCATCAGCACATCGACGTTCGGGAAGAGGGTAAGGAGAATAAATACTCGCTCGGTCGTAGCTTATGGATCGGTAGCGAGGAATTCGAGGATCTCGATGAAATCATCGCCAGGCACATTAATCCTATGGCTGCATACACGTCCGAATTATTGGACTTTAAGTACTACAAAGCACAAATTATGGGCATGAAGGACAAAGCCGAGGATATACTCAAGGAGCAAAAGAAGGAAAACCCTGGTGGTATTCCATACATCGTTTCCGCATCCAAGGTAAAAGCCAATAATCCCTTCGGAATTGTTATTTCATTTTCATTACGCTGTCATTAATATTTATCGTTAATATTTCTAATTTATCTTTAAATCCTAACCATTGATATTTAATGTGATAATAAGCGTTGCTTTTTTTTTTTTAAATGCCAGTATGTTTGTCGAATGGTAGTAATAAAGAAAAGTTCATTGTCAATAAGCTGTCCGAGTCGAATTGCTAAATTGTCAAATTATAATCCATAAATGTAACAAGAATCGATATTTACTGTTTACAACAACAACAACAACAACAACAACAAACCAATCATAATTATTAATGAGCGCCACTTATTATTATGTCAAATATATATTATTCTGTTTTGTTTATTTTTTTTTTTGCTTTTTTTTTCCAATTTCAATTTTCATTTCCTTCAAATATACTACTTTATGATAAACATAACGAGCGATCTTATTATGCCATATATTTCTTCTTACAGAATTATCCTGGAAAATTTATGCTATCATATCTTCCTCGTACTAGATGCCGACACGAATATATTTCGGTCTCTCCAGATGGTTTTCGATTTAGAGGAAATAGTTTCCCGCGAGTTAACGATCTTTTCCGTTGGTTCAAGGAACACTTTAGAGATCCAATTCCAGGTCAAATTACCCCGAGCACACCTCGAGTGTACCATAATACACCGGGTATGAACATGAATGGTAAGCTGTTTTTGTTTTAAAAATTCCGAAACTTTCGAGGCTTTCGCGCATCCGTAAGACAGACATTCGTAATATTACTACGATATTCATCATTCGTTTTATGAAATTTTTTTTTTTTAACTTTCTAAATACCGGCCCGTTTCTCGACACTATTAATTATTATTAAAATCATGGATAGCACATTTTTTGCATTAAAACGAACGTTCGATCGAATAATTAATTCACACGCTTATTACGCCTGGACTTGCCACTCGTAATTCCCCATTATCATTGGTCTTGGCGCGATACTACTTCATTACCCTTGTAAGCAGCGTTTAATAGCTACATGGATAGGATGGTAGAGTGACGGGGAGGTTGGGAGGGAGTTAGGGAGGGCAGAGAGAATAGGAGAGTATTGTAATACAGAAATATCCGCAGGAATGAACCAGGAGGCCATTCAGCGTGTCGCCCAGAATCTTCCGCGACATATGCTGCACTCGCTGTCCCAGGTGGCGAATCAGACGCCTCACTATCCACAAACACCCGGGGCGGCGAGCACCGCCACCGGATACGGAGGAATGCACAACGCCTACGCCATCAATACACCTTACACACCATCGGGACAGACGCCATACATCACACCCTATCAGACGCCCGGTCAGCCGACGCCACGCTACGGCGAGCAGACGCCAACCGGACACCAGATGCCGGGTAATCAGTACACGACGAGTCAGAATGCAATGGACTGGAAGAAGGCGGCCGAAGCCTGGGCTAGGCAGACCGCCCCACGAGCGAGGTGAGTAGGCTTTTACATAATTCACTTTCTTATCTCGTTTTGGATTGCGGTAGTGTAACGAGTCAGCGTTCAAAAGGACGATGATGATCTTCTTGCATCGTCCACTTGGCAATATCAGTGTGCTTCGTGAAAGATGAAAAGTACGAGATGGGAGGGAGGACTAGCGTCGCTAAAGTATACGCATTTGCGCGTGCGTGCGTGTATATATATATATATATATATATATATATATATATAAGAGATTAATCGTTGAAGGTAGACGTGGGTGTTAATGTAAAAAATAATTAATTAATAGGCATAATGAAAATGATGAAAAACGCGAATATCTCATTGTCAATTGTTGTCATTGCTGTATTAAAGGTTTACAAAAATAAAAGTTTTACTTTTATGCAGCTGTCGGTTAGAAAAAAATATCATAAATAATAATAATAATTAATGTGTAATCATTGTAATGCGTGTTTACAAAGCATATTTACAACAATAGTAAGAATGGTAACATTTTTGCTCATTTCGAGAAAATATTGCATATTCGCGTAAAATTCGCGTAAAATTCTCTTTAACTCGTATACGTACGGGAGAGGAAATGTAATGAATTTTATTTCCTCAATGGCTTTTTTTCTGAAATATCTTAATAACGTATGGAGTTTTATTATTATTATTATTATTATTATTATTATTATTATTATTAAATGCATAATCAATATTAGAAGAATTTCGAATGAATAAATTCTGTAATAGTGCATTCTGATTTGATCGATCTTCATATTTTTCCTTGGGCCGATATTAAAAAAAAAAAAAAAAAAAAACCAATATGCACCGTGAAAATGTTATGCTCAAACGAGAGTTGCGTTAAAGCATTAATAAGTATTTAACGAATTGACAATTTCGGATTGCGGACGACAAAGAAAAGAATAAGCGCGTGTTTTCGAGGTTTTCGTGTTTGGTAAAAGAACGTTTGTGCACATTTCAGCGGCAGCCAAGGTACTCCAAGATACAAGCAGCCTTATAAATCACCAAGGGGAACGCCACATACAAATTCCAGCCCGAGAAGTATGTCTTTGAGCGGAGATGGAACTCCACTGTATGACGAGAGCTAATAATTTTTTGTAATTAGTGGATTAATGTATTTATGTATATGACGTTATTATACTTAGTTAAGGATTCGTAGCTTGCATAAGAAAATTTTTACTCTTACTGTAAAATATATATACTTATGCATATATAGTTACGAATTGTTTTACTTCACTCCGTAGAAAATTTAATTGAATTTTCTGTTTTCATGTAAGATGATTTTCGAAGGGTAATTTTTCACTACTCGCTGTGAATTCACATGGAAAGAATAAATTTTTATTATTTGTACATTGTTCGTTTATTTTGAGCAGTATGAATAATTTACCTCAATTTTGCTGTAGTAGTGTGAGTGTACAGTTTATGTAAAATCGCGTAGGGCGGTAGTGTATGCGTAGAAATTGGGAAAAAAAAATTAGAATTGGCCGTGTGAATCCGTTAGATCGAAAGATTAATATTGTTTTAAAAGGAGAGAAAATTTTTATTTCCCTTGAAACACAACTGCTTACTGGATATATGAATGTACATAAGCATGCGCAACACGCCTATACTCACGTGCGCATGTATATACGGCATAAATAAATTATCTCATTGTTGTAACGTACGAAATGTTGCGTAAATTTAATTAAATTCAATTAATTCGACACAGTGATAAAGCACAAGAATTGGAATTTAGTTCCACTCGATAACTGCCGATTGCCATGTAATTAATTCACCTTATCGAAACGCAAATAATTATTATCTAACAAATAAATATACAATTTTTACAAGTCTTTATAAATATATATATAAAATAGTATTTCATTTATTGATATCAGTCGATTGTTAATATAAATCCAATAAAATAAATTATATTATTTAATTATTTAAATAAATCTAATAAGTTGATTGATGCTCGATTCATCTTATAGAAGCTAAATCGTCCGACAATACATCGACGTATTCTCCCTTATCGTATGTCCAAGCTAGTTTCATAGTGTTGTTCGTTGAAGTTCTTGTTCTCCTTAAATCAAATCAATGCCACCGAATTAATTATTGTCATGAACAAATGTATTAATTAATTATATAATTCTTACATATTGTAATTCGTTTCGGCTTTTTGAGGATGCTGTTTGTTACAATGGCTTCGTAAATTTTTTCTGCGATTCATTGGTACGGTAAAATTTACCTAACATGTTTTTAATTATACATTAAATATACGTTAATTTTCATTATAAAAAACAAGTCAATACTTTACAGTGTATGGTATGAATTCTTCATCCTCTGAAGCATCCTCAACATCGGTACTCGAGGACGTTTTGTCAATTTTATTCCTCTTTACTATCTTTCTTTTTCTTGATTTAATACGTGACTCGTTTCCTAATTTTAAACGCTTTTTAGGACTTTCATTCATTTTTTCATTCGTCTTTTTCTTGCTATTGGGCTTTAACAAAAACGTAAAAAATGGTAATATAAATTTCAGTCTTGAAAATAGCCAATTTCTCTCTACAAATTTATAAATTTAGCTTTTTTAATAATAAAGATACATGAAATCAAGTGATTCTTTTTATGCTTATAATTTATATAATTATTTATGAAAAGGATTTTATTTCACTATTTTTTCTTTCGCACTTTCTATCTAATAATAATAATAATAATAATATATATATATATATATATTTATTTATTTATTTATTTATTTAATTATCTCACCATGGATTTTTTATGTACAATTTTTGACGATAATGAACTTTCAATCGTATTTCCTCGATTATAAACCGTGTCGAAATTCTTTGTTGTTATTCGTTCACCTAAAATAAAAATTACACACCTATGTATTAACTGCTTCTCTTGATTAAATAATTTACTAAATAATTATATACCCTGCCAATAATTCAGAGGTGGTATAAGTGGTCGACCGCGCGAACTCGTTGGTACTTTTAAGACACCAACCGATAGATCGCTCAACTTTGATTTATCAGTCGTTTTCTTAAATACTGAAAAGATTTAGTTAATACAAGCTTAATTGAGTAATTAACTTAACCGCGTATAAACAATTACATGTGATTGGGTATTATTAAAACAAATTGAGCACTTGAATATTTCTACCTGTTTTTAAGTTAGTCCATTCTTGGCAAAATTCATCGATTTTCGAAGGACAGCCTTGTAAGCATAATTTTAGTAATTCTTTCGGTACAACTAAAAATAAATAAATAACCAGTTATAAATTAATCATCAATAAGAATACTAACGAAACATTTTTATTACGATTTTTATTGGCAAGATCGCCGACTAGCATAAAATAATCGTTATTGACAGTTTCAACGAGTTTCAATGAATGTCTAGTAAGTATTGAATCGGTGACAAATTTTCTGTTGAGCACATGACCAGCTTCGCTGTAAATCATTCAAATCAACAATTTAAATACATAAGTATTGTATACGTCGCCTACAGTATAATAATACTTCGATAATAAATACTTTAATAATTTTCCTTCAAATGTTAAATGGCATTGATTTATTCTTGCGCTATCTTGCACAACACAAGGTGTCCAAGATGCTAACAATTTTGGATTTTGTTTCGATCCAAATGGCTCGTTCCTCGCTATTTTATTATTTGAGGACATTTTTTTTTCCTCGCAAGACAACAATACAACGGGTTCTCTGTGTCCAATTTCTTGACTTTCGATCGATACTATCTTAAATTTTTTATTTTTCACTTTATCTCCTTTTTCTACATGATCCGAATAACAATTTTTACTTTGATTTTTAGAATGCTTTGCTCCACACTGTAAAGTAACAATTTTCTTCTTAAATAATTATTCTTTTCCTCGATTAATAAATAAATACCTTACCTGATGTTCTTCATTTTCAAAAGCTTCCGACTCGCGTTCCAAAAAATTGCCTTGCAATGATTTTTCATTCAATTTATTGTCATTTTTATTATCTTTACTACCATCGTTACTAATTTTATTAAAATTCGATGCCTAATAGGAATGAAATTAAAGCAGATTAGATTAAACAATAATATTATTCATATTTAAGATTTATAAATAATTTCAATCGATAGTTTTATTGTCTTACTTGTTTCTTATTATGAGTTTCAGCATTAATAATCTCAATATCGTTAATAGATTTTGCAGTGACTCTCGAATCCACTAATTTTATATTATATTTAATTTTATCCGAATGCGCAATGACTGGCCTCGGTGCTTTGTTTGGAAAAGATGTGGCACAGTTGTTTTCATTCGCAGAAATATTAGCTAAATAAATTTTATATATTTATATATACAATATATACGCGTATACATAGACAATAAACAAATTTGCCGATTCCAATCTAAATGAGCGAAGTAAAATTGTTCTTACCTTCTTCGACGTCATATTGTTTATTGCATTGCTGTTCTGTATTGTTATATGCTAAAAGGGGAGATGACTTTGTTTTACGAGTTTGTTCACGATTATAATTACATCTAGATACATCAATGTCCGAATCGTTATGATATTGAGACTTATAATTCTTATTACATTCAATTTGCTCTTGAAATTGTTTCATTTTCGTAGTATTTCTATTTCTCTTACGGCTTCGAATATCTTTGTAGGACTCGGATTGCCGAATTTTAGATTGAAGGACGCGATTCCAATTTACTTTTGGAATACCCATGTAGATATCGCTATTTGATGATTTGTTGGCAGTATCGTCGGATTCCGAACAGTTCGATGTCACATTATCATCTGGTTTCTCGGAATATTTCATCACTTCCTTCGGCTTTACGCATTCGTTGTAATTTTGAATATTAAATTGGCTCAGTAGTCTTGTTTCTTGTGCTTCCGTAAATGATATTGTTTTATTGCAATTCTGACAATCCTGTACCCGAGTTTTTGACGATAATATATCAGTTTGCTTATCATTTGCATCACAGTCGTTACTCGGTGTATATGATAAAATATACCGGAGACAATCGATAAAACCAATAAATTTGTCTAGGTATTGTGGAGGGCAATTTTTATCTCCGAGATTTGAAAGGATAATTCTTAGCTTATCCTCTCGTATTATTTCATATAGATAACTTGTATTTTTTAAATTTGAATTAGAGCAATTTGAAGTGGTGCAATGAGTACATTTTCTATTATTATTTGTAGCACATTCAGCATTGCTTGTACTGATATCTCGAACTTCGGACGAATGACCAGAATCGTCTACTCTTTTATTCGTATTATGAATTTTCGGTGATGTACAATCAACACTTTCTTTCCTCGAAAGTTCTAAATTTGTTTTATTTGTTTGATGTTCTCTTGCATTTGGCTTTGCACGATTCTCTAATGAAGTATCGTTTTTCGACGTAGCGTTTGAAAAATTTGTCTGTTTATTATGCGATATTTGTTTAAAATATGTAAAATCTGTGACTTCGCTATTTAAATCGTCATCGCTATCGGTCACGTGTCTCGGCCATCTAAAGGTTATCGGTGACCCTTCGCTTATAAACTTCCTCCATAATTGATAGACATTTTCCCAATCATCCGGGAATCCATTGTAAAATTTTCCACGAATATAATCTGGTAGCTCTATTGGAAAGAAAAATAATGGTAAATTTCATTATGTTTATCATACTTTTTTCAGAATACAGGTTTTCAAAATTCACTTACCGCGTCTATTATCAACTAAATTGCCATTCAATATGTAAATATGTTTATATAAAGATCGCACTTTAGTGCACGAAAATCTTTGAACGACAGGTTTGCTACGACCAATTCTACCACTGAAAAATAAACAATCGCATCGTTACACGAATGAAAGCATAATTTTAAATGTGCTCGCTAATACTATACCAGTCCAGAGTCCCTTTTATAATTAATTCTCCTCGATCGTTTAAAATTACTCGCCAATCAACAAAATTTCTATAACCCTTATGATCGTTAATTTCAGATGTTGTGGAAAAGCTAATATCCTGTAAATTTGCAGAAGAATTTATAATGCTTTCGGAAGAACTATAACTTTTGTTATCTAATTCTGGATTTTTACACTGCTTATCTTGGGCATTGGATTTTGAATTCATTACAAGAGGTAGGTTTTTGTCATTGGAATTTACGGGTTTATATAAAACAGGCGGTGGCATAATAGCTCGATCCTTGTCAAAACCATGCACCGGATACTTCTTAACGCTCGACGTAGCCATTGGTTTTCGTTCGGCGCAGGTACTTTTTAATATTCTACGTAAATTTAGACTAGAAGATACTACGTCGCTCCCAGCTTTCGAAGTCTGATAATGCGGCCCCTCGTTCGCTGAGCTCGTCGTATCAAAACCATCTGGGTGTATGCTAGAAGTGCTAGGCCAAGTTGGTGACAGACAATACTTTCCTTCTTGCACTTTCATAAGCTCCAATTGCTTAACAAATGCAAGTTTTAGGTTACGTTCGAGTCTTTTATAACGCTCCTCTTGCTTAAAATCCCCAAATTTTATCTGAAAATTTAATACGACAAAGTTCGCTTATGCATTTACACATCAATCGACAAGTTTCAATATTATCATAATCACTTCCATTGCAATAAAACGATTCGTTTATTTACCACTACTAATTACGTACCAAAATCTATAACAGAATCCTAACTTTTCAATACTTAATTTGGATCTTAATATAAAAATGTGGCCTACCGACTTTACATCGAATTTTCAATAATTTCTTATCAAATTTTTGTCCATGTTTGAACAATGTTTAATTTAATCAGTTGACCAAAAATGTACTTTGTTTTGTTTTCGGTAGGCACAGCAAATATCAAAAATACAAAACACTCGTTCCGAAATCATTGCTCCTATTTCCCAAAATTACCAAACTACCCGTAATGCCAATACATGGCGATAGCAAAACTTACGCTCGACGAATTATCCATCGCGGCATTCAGTAGTCTTGTGACCTGCAAACAAATTCGTTACAAAACTGTTTGTCATTTAAAATTTTTCACCCGACAGCGCGCACAGTTGCATTTTGCGCGTAAATGTTAGTCCTCTGCCTCGACCAATGCTACCAATATTAAAAGTCGAGTGTAAGCGTCCGTCCCCTTTCGCCAACCTTCCGGCAACGGAGCTTCGAACTCAACTCATTGGCGCCTACAGCATTCAATGTGTAATGTGAAATGAACCCGCGCACTTGCGCTCACGTACACTGCCTATGCACTTGCCTATCAATGATAATGACCGATAATGCAGAGAATTCATAACGACGTCACTCTAATTATCCACGTTTTGTCGCCCGTTTTAACATACAACATCGCAAGCATAGTTAGCTACTTCTCATCCTATCTCCGGATGTATTTGTCATTGGGTTTGACGGGGCATCGAATTACGTGTTTATTACTGCGCCTTGAAAAATACCTTTCTCTTCTTTCATTGTTTTATTGTAAATCTAAGACAGATGGAGCATGGAAGTGAGATCGTTGAGATTGTAAAACACGAGACGCGAGTTCGTGATACACACGACTGTGGATACCAACCTCGCATGCCAGCATATGACTCGAAGTCAAGATGGCGGCGGCGGCGGCGGCGGCGGCCTGAGGAGGACAGGGGATACTACGCGTCGCGCTCGATTATATTACGTTGCTAAGTCGGTCGTGTTACTTCCGATCTTGCGTTCTCATCTGTGCGATCGATCGCACTCTTAAAAAAAAACTTCAAAACGCCCTAAGAAAGCGCAAACCCGAGACGTCGCGGCAAGTATTATTAATAATCTCCGCGCATTTCTACGTCACCGACCGGCTTCGTTATACAATATTCGCCATCACCTCGTCATTGTCTTTCGTTGGCCGTCATTCCATTCATCCTCGGAAGCCTCTTTAACGTATATTCTTTCAAATGTCCGTTCCTACATTCCTCGATATCATTTCCAATGGTAATGAGCATCGAGACGTATAATTCTACGAATGGCTGCTTGTGATTAAATTAAATAAAACGTCAAATCGTCAGTCTAACACGATAAAGGATATCGCGTAACGGACTCCCGTGCTTCAACCCCTTTCCCTCCCATCCCCCTCACCCCCCACCCCCCACCCTGTATGCAAAAAGAGGATAAAAGTTGTGTAATAATAATAATAACCAACGGAAATATGGTTATGGAGTATTTCAAAATGCTCATATGAAAAAGTAGTGATTGAGCGATAAAATGGAAAGTTATTTTATCGACGTAAGCACCCATCGAGCCTCCAACAATATATATATTTTATACGCTTGGCGCCTGTTGATTTATCTTCCAAATTATTGTCCCTTCTACATCCCCTTATTACACTAATTGTTTAAAGCAATTATTCATTTCTTTATTTATTTATAGATCTTATTTAAAAAAAATTTCCTATGTCTACCGAATAATCTTGAATTTGATTTATCAATCGAATACGACGATCGGCTCCCTATCTTAACGATGTAGACCAACGAAAATATAAAATCAAGCGGATAATATTCGTTTAACAGTCGATAAAATAACAATGTCATTGTGCCTGAATAAAACGTATGTGCAATAATGCATAGAAAGTGATTAATTTAATTTTTTTTGCATTTAAAAACAAGAGAAAATTAATTGACTAATTAAAGCATTCTTTTCGTATAATTTCAATAAAACATTGCATACTACATCAATTGAATTATTTAACTAAATTATATACAACACTTTACGTCCATAAGTAACCATTTGGTAAAAGAGCATGAAACAAGAGTGAAAAAGCATCATTTTATTAATCAGACTGATTACGATAGAATAAGCTGGAAGAATCGAATGTGTTAAACAGGATTGAATTAAACGAAATAAAAAGCTTAATACTTCTCATTCGTACAGATTTATTTACAGTACAGAGATAATTGTTCAATATATATTTGCTTTATTTACAACATATACCGCCTTTTTGTACTTGATTTCATAAATCAGGTGTTACAACTGCTGATTCTCTCAGACGTCGAATGAAAATAAAAACCAACTCCATAATATATCCAAACGTAATGCAAATGATACGCTATTTGCATACATACACATGCGTAGGATATAATTTGCCAGTTAATTATGCATTACTGCGATTGACAAAATATTATGTGCGTATTTCAAAGTTGCTGAAATGTTTATAAATATATGTGTACATACATGCGCATATACCATATTTATTTTGTGCACCGGATACTCTTCTCAATTTAGAAAGAAAAAAAAATATATATTTTTTTTCTTCATATTTTATCATTTCTGCAAAATTTAACGCAGTTTTGTATCATCACTTCGTTTTTTATACATAAATTTCTTCAGTTTTGTTTCGGGAAACGTAAATATGTCGTTAAACAATTACGTTTACTGTTTTAATTCGAGCAATCGCCACTTTTATTAAAGTTCTAGTAATTTACATACATTACAATATTTCAATGGTATTTTACAATTTAAAAATAATATCTGTCATTAAAATGGAAGTACCATTTGTCGTACGGTAGCAATTGATTTTCAGTACTTTATATGCAAATAAAAACTGTAAACGTAATTTGTATCGAAAATAAAAAAAAAAAACAAAAAAACAATACTATCGCTTATGTAGTGACACGGCATTTATCTTATCTTTATTGATATTTAAGTTATAAGAAGAATTATTATTACTATTACCGAAAGAGTACGATCACCGAGGCAGTGAATATCGAGACAAAAATTATAATGAAGCTACTTTGAGTGATCCTGTTCATTTGATCCTGTTCATTTTTAAATATAAGTAACGATATTATGTAAACAAAAAAAAAAAAAAAAAAAAAAAAAAAATTTTTTAAAAAAAAAAAAAAAAAAAAAAAAAAAAAATGCTTAGACTAGAAAGAGCCCGATCAAATTCAGTCGTTAACATGTTAATTAACACCACGAATGATGAATAAATAAATAAATAAATAAAAATATATATTTGTTAAGCCATATCATCATTATATAAACTCTTATATCAAATGTATAAAATATATCAACAATTTATGCATAGACAAAATATTTATGTTTAATTATAGCTTCTCTCGCTCTTAATCCTTTTACCTTTAATCAATTTCGGAGTATTATTAGCCTTTAAGATTGTATTGCATTCTTTGATAGTTTAATTATTAATGAATTATAATAGTCATTGCCATTACTCTTAAGTTTTCATAACAATGCAAATGGAATAAAAAACTCATTTGTTAAATGATGTGGTAATTTTTATCAATGAAGCTTATAATATAATAAAAATTTTGATTCATAGTCATGAAAATGTTTTGCACTCTATACCATTAACATATACTTCGTCATACTTATTCGTTAATTTAGAGTCCATTCTTAACAATAATCATCAAATCATCTTATATATCTATTCTCATTTAAATCTCTAAAATATATTTCGAATTTCTATAAATAGTTTATATGACAATATACACAAAAAAAAAAAACCAAGCAATAAATATCATTATTAAAATTAATATTTAATTTAATAATTTTATTATAGTGTTGGAATGAGACAAACGAATAGTGTTATAATAATTAAATTTCCTTTACCGTTAATACGTATAATTATTAAATTATTGTAAAAGAATTTGTTATTAATAATCATTCATATTATGACATTTTAAACATCTACAATTCTGCAAATGCTTATTTAAAATTTATACATAAATTGTTACTACTATAAATATAATTACGAAAATCCATTTTTAAATGGAAAATACAATTTACAAAAAAATCATGCTTTTAAAATTGTACAATTATTTATTTAATATCGGGCTTGAAATTGTAGATACATGCTATTGTTTTATACTTCCCTTAAACGCAGATATTGAAAATATAAAATTGTAATACTTGGATAATAAAGGAAATACTTAGATAATTGAGAATGGTGAAGTTAACGGCATTAATCATTTCTCATAATGTGTCAAAAATATTCGTTCGCTCATTATTTCATATTGTTTTTAGAAAATATGCGAACAATGTAGTGCGCTTTAATTCAATATATTTTCAAGTAATTTTTCATCTCATTATTGATTTCTCGAATTTGACAATAAATTTACAATAAATGTTCTACTCTACTGTGAATTTAGTTTAAAATGTACTAAAGTAGAAAGAATGAAAAATCGTGAGAGCGAAATCTTTTCACTATTTATTATATTTATTAATTACTTCCTTTATTATCTACGTATCGATTTTCAGCAAAAATACAAGAAAATTTTTATATATATATCATCATCATCATCATCATCATCATCATCATCATCATCATCAGCCCTTTATTGTAATTGAACATATGAACTTGAAGGATAGAATGCAAAAGTATTTCTGTAGTATAAGACTATATTTAGCATTATTGCCTAAACAATAATTTTAGATAATGAATCTGTTCCAGTCGTAAAATTATTGATCACAACTCAACTATTTTTCACATAGCAGTATAAAAGACAATAACTACGCAATCAAAATTATAAAATAAAATTAATTTCCAACGTTTCATTCAAGCTTTTCTCTCATTTGAAACTGCATGAAACCACTCGGAAAATGCTGCCTCTATCTGTCGTTGTTCTACTTTGTTCTGTCGTCACAATAATATTCTCTCTCTCTCTCTCTCTCTCTCTCTCTCTCTCCCTCCCTCTGGTCAAGAGGTCACCGCGCGCGATTCTAATCTCATTAAAGATCCGTAAAAGCTCTTGTTTTAAAAGGAAAAGAGGCGATCGCTTCGAATAGAGCAAACATTGACTTTGTTCTTACGAATCATAATTAATTGTTCTCGGCGGTCGCTCGATACTACGTTCACGACATACTTACATTGACGTTAAGAGAGGGATAAGCGAAAGGCAGAAAAGGACATAGAGAATACAAATTTCTATTGCTCCTAGAGGTGCGGCACGAGCCACATAGGGAAGGAGAAATGCGGACATTGGCTCCTCTCATCATCGACGAGGCACGAGGTTGTGGCTCTTGGCAATACCTCGGCACCGCGGCTCCAAGTCAGACTATGCTGGTAGGATCGACGAGGGGTTCCTGTACGTCCACTTGTGGACCTACGACAGCAGTGCTAGAAAAGTAGTGACAAGAGACATATGATTAATCGGAATTGAAACCGTGTGGCCTTACGTCGAGTCTCTTACAATGGTCGTCTTCACGAAAAAAATTATGTAAATTTACAGTTTTCTTTTTTCTTATTCATTTTTTTTTTTTTTTTTTTTTTTTTTTTTTTTTTTTTTTTTTTTTTTTATTATTTTTTATGAGCTTGCATCGAATGTCAATCCCTACATTGTTGTATTTTTATATTAATTAGATGGTTAGTATTTAGAAATGATAAGACAAGTTATAAGCCGACTCTGATTATGTGAAGGAAGCAAGAATTTACTATATGTAAAAGTTAACAGTTATGTTTATTACGAAAAAATTAAGAACAGAAAAATAAATATATAAATAAATAAGTTACTTAGTTACTTAGATAATTAGAGTTAAGTAATTCAAAAAAATTAATCTACAGTACTTGTAAAGTTTATACTTTATATGTAATTCATAATTCCATTATAGTGTTAATATAAATAATTATTGATAAACGATGCTCTCTATCTCTCTCTCTCTCTCTCTCTCTCTCTCTCTCTCTCTCTTTATCTATC